CGTCAGCCCCTTCCTCCCGCGGGGGCAGGCAGGTACCACCTCCACCTTTCGGCGGAGCGAATTTATGACGAGACCCTCTCTCTCCATCTCCAACATCGATGCATCCACGCCTCCTAACCTTCCCGCTTGCACCGTCGCCGTTGTCGTCGGATTCTCCGTACGAACGCACACTTCGTTTCGAACGAGCGGCCGATGATGTAGAACAGGGCTTTTCACTTTGCCATACGAGGCACAACACGAGTCGCCATTCTCTTCCCCCTCCCCCGGTCCCCTTCATCGCTATCTCTACATCGCATGCCTTCCACGCAACCAAATAAAACGTGTTACAATTCGGTTCTCCTCCGACGGTACCAAGCCTTCCCCTACCCTTCTCACTTTCATGCAAAACACAACGCACTCTGAACCCCGCAGTACACAGGCCTCGGACCTATAAAAGTGCCCTGTTTAGGGGTCGATTTATGCCTGTCTACGTCGCCGGTGGCAGTGCAACGCCGCCTGCTTTGTGTGCACGACAGCGTTGAAGGACGCGGGCAGAGGATCTCGTTCGGGAATTCGGCCGAGCTCCCCGTGTTGCATTTGTAAAGTGTACGACGCCTATTTGTTGGTGCAGCCATCCGAGTTCCAGCGTGTGTATTTCTATGGCCCCGTAGGGCGTATTTGTCCCACTGTCGTATCTAATTACCGCACCTGGGTTTTTACACTCCCACTTGTTTCTTCCGGTTTTTTTTTTTCTTCTTTTCTACTACTGCGCTTGCTTTGCTATTTCTGGTTATATTTATATCATCTATTTTTACTTCTTAAATTATTACGTTGACACGGTTTCGCCGTAGAATGAACTTATTTTGGGGCATTGTTGAACGGCGCAAAAACGACCAGATGAAGACACCTAGCAGATTGAAAGCCTGTTAACGCATTTAACTTCAAGAGCAACATTCAGGACAAAGAAGGTTTTTTTTTTTTATTTCTGTTTATTTTAGAACACAATAACAATGACAAAGACTAGTTACACCAGGATTTTCAGGATATCAAGAGCGTGCACATTCTAGCATTGGCGTTCATTTGGCGGAGGTAATACGCAATATGAAGATCGAAGGCAGAATCTAAAAGTTGTCAGTGGAATGTGTTATAATTGCTACTGATCAGATTCACATACTCTGAAAAGTCATGGCCGACTTTAAAGGGGTACGGAATAAACAAAATTCGTGCACTTATTGCTTTGATTAGATGTGGTCTATGTTGCGCAGGCAGCCCAGAAACACTAGTCTAAACTAGTGTTTCTGGGCTTCCAACAGAAAAGTAAAGAAAGCTAATTTTAAAACGAATTAACTAATTTCAAGACTGCGCCTGGTGGCGCTCTTGCGAAGCTCCTTTGGAATGCCGCCACATCACGGGCCTCCAAGAAGCAGAGCTAGTTCGCCGCAGTATGCCTCGCTCGTGGAGTTACTTAAGCCTGGTTCAGACAGTTGCGTTTGACTGCGTTTGACTGCGTTGCGGCAGCGAGAAACCAGGACATCCCTGCTGCTTATATCGCGTGCCAAAATGATCCCTTGAATTGGATTCCACGCTTCATGCGAAGCACAGATGTGCCGGTGACTCGCTTTCGGTACTCGACGCAACGCAGCCAAACGCACTCAAACGCAAGTGTCTGAACCGGCCTTTAGTCCTGAATGTGACTTGACGGAGGACCCTATCGAGCTGACTGCGTTGTATATGTCAACGCTTCCACAGTGCTTTCGCAACGTGCATTACACACCATCAAGATCGCCGTTCTTTGCAGACCATAGGTAGGAGCTGATCTGAGGTTGCGGGGACCTCTGCCAGACCAGCCAGACCATCTCCCCTTCCCACGAATGCGCTGTGAATAGCGCGCTAAAATATGGAACCCATAAACATAGCTTTCAGGTGTCGCCATGGCTGGGTGCTGACAGTTATTTCTATTTACTGGTTCCCTCGAGCTAGACTGGTGTGAAACAAATGCGGTAAGCCGAACGCTAGTGGCACATAAAGAGCGTGTCTAGCAAATTATTATTTCAAAATTCCCTGACTTTTCCCGGTTCTCTCTGACAATTTCAAGTGAAATTTCCTGACCACTGTAGGGCCAGTTAAATATATAAGATCATTACAACACGAGGCATTGAGCATGAAGCGTCATGAGGATAATTTTGCACGGGCTTAATCCAACTTGCATATTCCGAAATATGCGGGTTCGTCCAGTCCGGAGTAAACGGGCACTGTCTTGCCTCCGACATCGTCAGTGAAGAGGCCGCTTCCGGAAACACGATGAAAGCACGACGCTCAACCGCAGACGTCAATAACCGAATAACAGCATGGCCTCCAGATGTACGCTTTCGGATGCTTTCGGCTTAAGGGTTGGATTGAATTGGGGTCTGCGGCTTTTCCACCTAGTTTCGCGCCCTCAATCCAATCGAAGGCTTGCACTGGACTTATCGGCTGTTCCATTTGCATCGGGTGAGCAAAGCTCGCGCTACGCTCTAAGCAGAATTTATTGCCTATTTTTCGGCTCCCAAGTCCTCAAGTCTTTGCTCAGGGCACCCGATGGCGTTTCCGGCTTATTTTCCCTGACTGGGCTCGCTTTTTGACAATATCCCTGACAATTCCCTGATTTTCCCCGGTAATTAAAATTTCCCTGACGATTCCCGGTTTTCCCGGCTTCCCCGGTCGCTAGACACCCTGCATTAAAACACCGGCATGGCCGCGAATGACATTACGTGTAAGCTATGAATGGGCCAGTGGGCCTACAGTCCTCGGATATTACAACTAGGCGAGATTGTCACGCGTTGACGCCACCAAGCAGGAACGCTCGGAACAGCAACATCCTAGAGCCACTAAAGGAGCTAGGCTTCGAGTATCGGCACCCTGTTCCCCGATATTGTTGTGGGTGCCGCCATCTTGGTGCTTAGTACATAGCAGGCTCAACTGCCGATCATCATGATTCAAATGTGCGGCTTCCTCAGCATTGGATTCGGTGTTAAGAAGCTCAAGTAATAATGCTTTGCTCTGTCGCGAACTGCTCAAACATTTGTGAAGGACGGAAAGCGTTTCCTGTGATTACATAAAGTTTCAGATAGCTGGCAACCATAATTTTAAGCACCAGGGTTGCTGACTGTTGTTACTCTGACGCGTAGCTTACTTAGTGGCGCTACAGTATACCCTTGGCCGTGCAGGAGCCCTTGATGTCCCGAGGGCGATAAGCGTTGCACTTCTGGTTGTATTTTGAAGCGAGAGGTAGAGCTCGCGTCCACGTCACTTCGTTTCTGAAACCTTTTAAGACTGCATCAAATCTGCTTAAGGAGTTGATAATATAGATAGTGTATGTATATTATTCTTGCCGCCGCGATATCAGTTTAGTACGAGCCTGGAGGCATGTTTAATACGAAAATCAGAATGATGGATTCGAAACATATCCTTCTTTAATAGTCCCACTGAGTCAATAAAATGTATGTATGTATGTATGTATATACTCAAATGCTACTACAAAATGTGCTCCATAAAAGGAGATCCTGACTTCCGTGAAGGGACAGCAAAGGAAAAGCCTTAGAACAAATTTAATCACGTCGGCCAAAATTCTAATATAAACGGCGCAAATCTTCTATCGAAGGTTACTCTTAGAATGTGGGAGCACCCTCAAGGCGCCCTAAGGTCAGCGGTTCCCATATGCGTGACGCTGGCGGGTGTTCTTGGCATCACAGAGCGTTTGTGAAGGATGTTGGTGTGTTGAAAGATACTATCATTCTATTGGCCAATTATAAGCCTTACACCAAACTTTTCGCGGCAAAAGATCGATAACAATATTATTGCGCTGTCTCAAATGTCATTTCCTGTCACGATAAACAAAAAAAGCGTGGCTAGAGTGTCGCTGCGCTGGATTATAATAGAAGAAAACACCTGTACACTCTGCCCGCACTCCAAGAAGTAACTTGTGTCACTGGGTCAAAGAGTGTGCAGTTTCTTCCGTTAAAGAATAAAGGACTAGACTCGAAGACCATCGGAAGCAATATTGACCCCGTAGACAGGTTATTGAAGTTAAACGCGCATTTTGACTTTACTTTCACACAAGCGGAGTTATCTTAGCTAAGTGTCCGATGCTCACGAGGAACTTTGAGCACATTTTCACCCCGAACAATTGAGCCGTATAGTTATCAATTGTTTCCGTCATCTACTAAAGGCCAGCCTGGGTCAAATTAGACACGGTTAATGTGTGAGCGTCCGGCGGGGAGACGTGAACTGACTTACCGCATGCGAGTTCAAGACGAGCGCTGGAGTCGTGCTCAATATATGCCCTGCAGCGGCGCCCTTGGTAGGTGACGTAAAAATTCATAACTATACGTCTTTCTATCTAAGTTCTGTTGCCCTGACCAGTACCTCCTATACTCGCATTCTTCTCAAGAACCGTAGCGAAAAAAAATTTTAAAAATCCCGGCTTCTCGCGGAACCATAGCCTCCTCTATACTCACAATGCCCAGCAGTTCGACGGCGGAACGATAGAGTGCCCGGTCGCAGATTTAGAGCGCGAGGATCTGGTAGCACAAAGCATTTCTCGGGGAACCTGGACGTCAGGGCACAGCTTTTGCAGCGGCGAGGACGCGAAACATGGTTTTCAAACCCGACGAGAAAAGAAGCGGTAGCGCGAGAAACGCGAGGAGCACGAGCGGACATGCCATCGCTCGGGAGAAGTGTGTTTTGGCGTCTTGCCGCAGCGGAGTGCCCGTCACGTGGTTCTCCTCTCATCCGTTGTCTGCCGATCTACCTTTTCAATTTCGGCCGCCCCATCTCGTGGCGATCTGCCAGGCTTTGTCAGTATAGAGGAGACTATGGTGGTACGTTACTAATTTCCCCCTTAATGTTTCGAATCCACAAACAATGACTCCATGCGCAAGGCCATGTCTTCGAGGTGGTAATCCCCCGACTCCTCCTTTTCTTGGAGAGTAATGAGAGAAACTTGGTTGTGTTTCTTTGACGCGAGGGGAGAACCCACTGACCGTGGTGGGGTCCCGTCCCAGGGATCCTCCTGGGGATGTCCAGGGCCCACTGCTCCGCTGTCTTCCTCCGCAGGTGGTCCCACTCCCGGAGGGGGTCCAGGAAAGGGGGCCGCTGGCCGAAGGCGCTCGCGAAGGCCCTCAACTGCTGCTGCTGGCCTACAGGGAGGGACAACCGCCAAGGAGCACCCGTGAGACGTCGCTGGGTACAAGCCCCGTATTGCGTCAAGTCGCATCAAATACACCGAAGCACGAACCGAGCAGACACGTAACTTGGAGTGACGTCACACCAGCTAGCGGCCATTGTGGTGGCGTTGCCGCTGAGCGTGCAGCGTACATGTTGCAGCGCTAAATTTAGGTATTTGTTCGCAAGAACAGTCAGGAATGATCGCTCGCATGGTGCACGGTGACGTCACGAGCAACTCGTGTATGAAGAAATCGGACGGGAATCGGAAGTGCTCGTCTGTGCACTTCGTCGTCCGAGCAATGTTGATACTTATCGTGATACCGACGGAATCGAATACTGGGCGATACTTACGCTCCCACTTTGGAGGGTACACGACGGGAGAGTTACGGTCTCAAGATACGTACATACTTTACGGCTATATATGCTGGTAGTGCTAATGGCGTGTAAGTTATGCACACGATGCGTTCCTTTCAATGTTCCATTCACGCCTCCAACGACGAAAATTTTTCGGAAGTGCAAATATATATTCCGAGTACTTCTGCATGCATGCGTGCGCAGAAGTACTGGCAACATATTAGAGCATTGATGCGGCACGTCGGCCCAACGGAGGTCGTTACGGAGGTCGTAAAGAAAAATAACGAACTTTATGAAGAACATGAACACAGAGCAGGTTGGCACAGATGTCTTCAAACACGAGAGAATAAAATACATAGGACGGACACACACAAACAGGACAGTTATTTTATGCCATGAAAGAACAGGACATGAAAGAAATGTCCTGTCTGTGTTAGTCCGTCCCAATCTGTTTTATTCTTCCGCGCTTCAAATCATTTATAAAGAAATGTTTTACTTATGCACACTCTAAAAAGGTCTGCTCGTCTACTTTCACGCACAACACTCGGAGAACCAATCAGCGCAACTTACAGGGGCAGCTCAGCGAATGACGATGCCGAAGCATATGTTTAGACCAAAAAAACGTAGTCTGAGTTCTGACATTAAGCAATGCAAAACGTCTCGCTTGCATTACTAAATGTCACAACTCAGTCTGCGTTTTTTGGTCTAAACAGATGTTTCGGCATCGTCATTCGCTGAGCTGCCTCCGAAAGTTGCGCTGATTGGTTCTCCGAGTGTTGTGCGTGGAAGTAGACGCACAGACTTTTTTTAGAGTGCAAACCACACTTGTAATTCCCCCAACCGGGCTTACAGTACACTAAATAAATAAATAAATGTAAATGTAATAAAAAACAAAAGCTACAGCGATTTATAAACGAAAAACATAAAATCACCGCTTATAGATGATTCCAGAGGAGGTAAAATAGGAGTATACGTTGCTGTCCTTCCCCTCTTTTTCTCACTGATGCGACATGCGCTATTGAAGCAGGTGCTAACGGAACCAAATCAAACTGATTGATGACAAAGACGCAGCGGTGTATTGAGAGACAACATTTTGTGTGGTAAATACAGAAGAAGGGAAACCACGAGAATGAGAAAGATGCGGGTCTGTTCGGCCTGCGTCCATAGCGCGCTGTTTTCCCATATCTTAGCATATTACAAAACAAAACATGTGAGGAATTTGTGAAATAGGTTCTTTCCGACTTGGCTAAAAACAATAAGATGCTCCTATAACAACGTCGTCTAACGGAAACATTAACTTGAGGAAAACATTCTTAGAACAGAGCGTTTTTTTTTTTTTTTTCTGACGGTGTAAAGTTTATATGAGGCTCACAACCGAAACGGCATACATCCGTGCGAAGATATAGCATCAACAAATACCTATCCTCAACTGCGTACTGAAAATTATTAAAAAAATCCAAATGATGGCAGTGTGTTGAACGTGAACACAGCATCATCAGCAAGTGGCTCCAAACTGTTTGTATAGAAGGATACTTAAAAGAAAACGAAACATCTGTCTTCCGTATACAAACGCCTCACTGCGGCATGCCCCTACACTACGTCATCAATTACCGCGTTAACTCCACTAAAACCAACAGGCCTACGTATCGCATTACACAAAAGTGTTTTTCTTCATTTTAAAAACAAACACCTTGTGAAAACAATGGGACGCTCCTGGCCACCCAGGGACAGCTGCGCAAACGTAGCAAGATAACGCCATCCTCGAGTCACGACTGACGCGCGTCGAAAGCTACATAAATATCCTTCCTCCACATCTGCTGTCCGCAGAAATCAGCGAGCCAGAAGCGGAAGCGGCATCCCCCTAAGGTACAAGCATGCGTGCGCAACAACAACGAGCTCTCCTCCATCTTGCATCACGTGACAAGAGGCGAAACGGAACGACGCAATAAACGCCGCGAGAGCCGGCGGCCGTCCGTCCACCCATCCATCATTCATAACCACCTAGCCCACCGCACGGGCTCGCCACACGGCCCACGCTCGGCCGGGAAAGGGCCCCCAAGGCGCGGACAAAGACGATTTCCATCGAAGAAGCAACAGCGCGCCGCCCATCACGACCAATCGCTCACGCATCGCCATGTGGGTATTTTAGGTTTCAGTCGATCCAGATCCCGTCTCCGAGAGCGGTCCTAATGGTGGCGGGGGATAGAAGGCAGGGAGTTGGCAGAGGTGGAGGGAAATGGAAAGCCGGGTATCTTCTCCAGGAGATGATGGCACCCGATAGCCCCGCCACTTATACGTTGAAGGTGGACCAAGTGCAGAGCGCATACGGCGCTCTGCACTTCGTCCACCTTCAGCGTATAAGTGGTAGTGATCTTCGAATGTGCCGCACTAGCGTGCAGCACATTCGAAGATCTCGTTGGTACGACATATTAGCCGAGCTTTGACTGATTCATCGAGTGACCGAGAGCCTAAAAAGCTGAGGGGTCACCCTCGGGTAGCACCCGAGGGTGACCAAAACAGAGGTGGTTTTGGTCCTTGTTCAGGGCGTGTCTCTCCACGCTTTTGGGTTCACCTCTGGTGGCATCATGTCACCTCCGGAAGCTTCCTACCTCCACGTTGTACGTCGTACAAATGACAGTCTGCAAACAGATTCGAACGGAAGTCACCGCCAGATCCTTGCTTCGAATGCCGCTTGGCAATGAGTTCGAGGAGAAAACCTGGCACGCGGCATTCGAGCCACGGATATTGCTGTGACTAGTGTTTGCAGACTGTATTTTGTACGATGTAGGAGCAGTGTGATCCCCGGCTTTTGGAACGCAGAACTCGTGGCGAGTTCTCAGCGTCGTACGATCGCTCAGCAGCCAATCAGATGGCAGTATCAGTCGATAAGGACGCGGAAGGACCCATCGGGAAGCGTCAACATAATAAGCCGCGTCCTGCCTTTCTTAAGTTGTCAGCCACTGGCTGAGTTTCCATGGATGCGACAGTAGCGGGTCCAATGGGGAGGGAGCCAATCGCACGCGCCCAGTCCCTCTGCTTCTTCCCCCTTCTGTCCAATAGCAATCGTCATATCTCGATTCGCATACGTGTATCCGCGGCTACACTCTGAAAAAAAGCCAGTGCGTCTACTTTCCCGCACAACACTCGGAGAACCAATCAACGCAACTTACGAAGGCAGTTCAGTGAATGACGATGCCAAAACGTATGTTTAGACCAAAAAACGCAGTTTGAGTTGTGACAGTAAGCAATGCAGAACGTCACGCTTGCACTGCTTAATGTCACACCTCAGACTGCGATTTTTTGATCTAAACATATGTTTCGGCATCGTCATTCTCTAAACTGCCTCCGTAAGTTTCGGTGATTGGTTCTACGAGTGTTCTGCGGGAATGTAGACGCACGGGCTTTTTTTCGAATGTATCGACGACTTCAGAAACAAGAGGCGTGGGTCATGATCTTTACACTTCTTCCCAATCATTGGCTCTTTCGATTCCCTTATCGACCGATGCCGCCGTCATTTCGTTGGCTTCTAAGTGATAAGAGGCTCGAGACTGTAGCTATCAGTTACTACAACTTAAGAAACGTGAAGTGCTTACTTTCCCGCAAAGCTCGTAGGAGAGCCAATCGCCGCAATCTTTGAAGGGAACTCGGCCAATCACGAGGCTGATAACGTGTTTAGACGTCAAAAAGACTGTCAGCGCTGTGGCACCGAGCATGCTAAAACGTCGTGTTCAGTGTCAACGTGCACACATTATTTTTTATTATTTTTTTAGGCCTCAACATATTTTGAGTTTCGTCATTGCCCGAGCCACCTCCGTTGATTGCGGCGATTGACTCTCCCAGGTGCAAGGTGGGACAGTATGACGCGCCATCTTTCTTCTAGCTCTTCGGTTCACCTCCGGATGGAGCGCATAAAAAGTGCGGCGTTGTTTCTACGCCCGCAGGCGGGAAGGTGTTGGCAACAGTGAGCCTCCATCGCCTCGGTCTTTTTGCGAACCTCCGCCTCCCTTGCCCCGGTGCAGGTAGAGAGCGTCGCTCATTAGGTTGTCGACGCACTAACTTGATTACCGGATGAATGAAGTCGACTCGCAGGTGTGCGTCGTCGGCCCGGAGTCGAGTGAGGGGAAGGCAAACACCGGAGTTAGGACGGCCTCCCTCCCTCCCCGCGGCTTAGAATACGTCGCGTTGTCTGTCTATATGCCGTGCCCTTACGGCGGGCACGCCGACGCGACTCCACCGAGTTGATGCGAGCACCGCGAGGAAGCCGAGGGCGGCAGAAAAGAACATAGAACAGGGAGAAAAGAATAACTCCTTAGTTAATCTGATGTTGCTATTTCTGCTATAGATAATAAAAGTGTTTACGATAAAAGAAAATGGCTACATCCCCTTTTCTCGTACGCCAACACAGCCTTGTTATGATCTCAAGTTCGGGATTTGGACCGAGACATCGTGTATGTATGGCTCATTCTGTGACTCACGCGTAACAATATTTTGTGGAGAGGGATACATTGGTCCCTAGTTTTTAGTTATGCTTTTTGTAGACCAAGTTTGTTAAAATATAGATAAGACATGGAAATTAAGAGGGCAGTGCTTATTTTAGTAGTGTACACATAATCATAGT